TAAAAATGATCTTAACCGTTCGATGGTGAGCGATCTAGTTGCATATAGAAATTTTGAAGGTCTGAGCCGTTTCAATCCTCTATCTTTGTTAATTACGCTTAAGAAGACGTTAATTATGCTGAATTTTTCAGGGAAAAAAATAGATTTCCTAATTAAATTGAGAGTGCACATCAAAGAATGGAGTATTTTGTCAAAAATGTGGAAAATAAAGAAGAGAAAAACTGACACGCACCCACTTCGAAATGATGTTTAACCGACCCAAAAGAAAAAGAAAAAAATCTATAATCACAAAGGGCAAGGCGGAAAAGTCCTCGAGTCAATGCATAGAGACGTAATATTGAAAATGATACTTGCAAGTCCACTTATATCATTAATTATCCAGAATTTTTGAAAATAAAAAATTCTTATATAAAGAAGCCACCGAATGCACGGGTACTATACTAGTTATCAGAATAATAAAGTCTTATCCCAGTGATTGCGGTTTAGTCTTCTAACATAACCTTACAAGAGAAATTTACAAGTTCCATCACAATTCCTAATCTCTACAAAAGGTAAAAAAGGGAGAAAACATAGAAAAATTGTTCTTTTTTTTATCTTTACAAACAGATTATTATTATTATTATTATTATTATTATTATTATTATTATTATTATTATTATTATTATTTTCGTATGCCCTCAGCTCTTCTTTTTTTAAAAAAAAAAATTTTATTTAGTCTCCCATTTAAATAATAGTGTTGCTTTTCCAAATCAAAAATTCCAAAATAATTATATAAAAATTTAAATTTTAAAATATTTTGGATACATAATTCACATTACTTCCGGTCTTTAATATAAGAGCTTGTTTGAATTTTATTTTGATTTTAAATATCAGATCCTAATCTACTTTATTTCTCATATTTATTTATTTTTTCTCAGATAATTATTGTAATAATGATAGTTTTTTTTTAGTTTTTTAAAACAAGTTTCTATTTTTTTTAAAAAAACAGTTAAGTAAAAATAAATTACCAAATGGGACTTTTTATTTTTTAAAATAAAAAACTATTTTCAGAATAGGTAAACAAATAGGCCCGAAATTTTTTTGCGTTTGGTCACTGTGTGAGCTGCTCACAGATGCCTCCACCTTTTTCCTCCCTCATTCTTTTTATTTTTTGACCAGCTCTCATCCTTCGTTCCATACTTTGATTTTTCTGTTAGGAAAAATATTCATTTTTCTAAAAGCACATTTAATTTTATATTTTATAAATATATATACACATATTAACAATTAATTAATGATATATTCATATATTATTTATTAAGTTGGCAAAAAAATTATTAACAAAATTATTATTCTGGTTCTTAATATTGAACCTAATTGGAGAGTTAATGTTGATCCTAAATGTAAGACCTATTTTATATGATTATTAATTTTTTTAAATTAACTCTATTGATATTTCCTCAATAATAGTCAAGTAAAAGAGAGAGTAATGGAATAAAAAAAGATTCTTAGGATGTTTTAAAAAAAACAGATCATACTAACTAATTCAAGTAATATTCTTAATCTATTTAAATTAATTAATTAGATCTTTGTAATTATCATATTAACTTATATTCTTTTTGGTAATTTGTACCTAAAAAAGTGTTTCTGATAACAACTATCTAAACACTTTCATTTTATTAAAATCACCATTTTCAAAAATGTTTTTAATCTTATATTTTATAAATACATATACACACACTTACTAACAATTGATTAATTACATTAAAGATCGAACATAGTATGTTGTTAAAAAAATTAGTTGTTTATGGGATTTTATGTTTAAAATCTTTAAGACAAAATAATATTTTTCTGTTGGCGAAAAAAATAATCATTTTTTAAAAAATATTTAATCTTATATTTTATAAATATATACACATATTAATTATTTATTAATTATATTTTTTATATATTATTTATCATGTTGGCAAAAAATATATTGTTAACAAATTTATTACTTCAAATTAAAATATATTGTAACACATATTTTTTTATGTAATTATCATATTAGCTTATATCCTTTTTAGTAATTTGTACATATAAAAAGTGCTTCTGATAACCACTATCCAAATACTCTCACTTTATCAGAATTATTATTTCATAAAATCTATTTTCAAAAATAATTTTTTTTCAGAAACTATTCTTCAAACCATGGTTTGGTTTTATCTAAACAGCCTCTTAATCTAATTTGAGAGAATAACTCAAAAAGTCTTAGTCTTAATTTGATAGGATGTATTGCATCTTTCAATTTCCTATTTGCAAATACATATGAATAGGGTGCTTGACCTGGCAGTAGACCCCAAAGTCATCACACTCTATCTCATAACAAACTGCTTCTAAATATCCGTTCTTATATGAATATGATATCATCTTGGTTAAAATAAAATTACTTCTTAAAGATACACGTAAATAACACCACTTTAAATATATATATGCGTGTGTGTATATATATATATGTAATATTTTGGTTTATATTAATAAAATCACATTGCCTATGAAACAGCTTGCAGCTGTTCAACGCCTTTTATTTTTATTTTTTTATCAATTTTATTAATATAAAAAAATAGTACAAACAGGCCAAAATAAAGTCTCAAAAAACCTAAGATACAACCTAACACACAAAATACTGAAAATAAAAAATACAAACAAGACAAAAACAATTAGAATCCAAACACGCTTAAAGAGGAGTGGGCAGAGACAAGCCACTCATTCTGGTGCATATTCTTTACTGCACATCCTGCCAAAAAATCAGCAACTTCATTACCTCTTCTTGAGACAAGAGAAACGCCTTTTATTACTTTACAAAAAATAGAAGACTTGTAGAAATCTTGACTTGCTTTTCTTTTCTTCTTGCCTCTATTTATACCGCATCATCCTTATCTTCTTATTCTATCGTCTCTTATGCGGTTTGCTATTATGTGATTGTGCAAACTGCCTTTTCCTCCTCCTTCTTCTTTCGCTCCCTTACAGAGTTATTTTGTTCAAACTGCAACAACCAAAATGGAGTTTGGGATCTCAATCTCTAAACTTTTATATCTTTTTGTTTTTGGATGCTTTGCTTCGACAGCTTTCATGAACTATGGATCCAATGCTCAACTCATACCAGGAGATGAAGGTTTCTTAATTAATCCCTTTATGTTTCTCTTACTACTTAGTATACATTCCTTCGATCCTAAATATATGACCCTTTTTGTAGCGTAATTTTATACTACAAAAGGGGTCTTATAGACCGAAGGAATACTATATTACTCTATTTAGAGTTATGATCAATTCTTCCGTTTCCATCTGTTTTCTTACTGTTCAAAGAAAAATACAAAAAAGAAAAGGGTCAACGTGATGGTTGATCCTTTCCTCTTCTTGAACAAGCAGTGATAAAAAATTGTCGTAATTTTCGAGACTTGATCCTTGATTTTTTTCCCCCTCCAAGAAGGGAACTAAGTAAATTGATTCTAATGTTTTCTTTCTTTCTTTCTCCTCCCCCCTCCCTTTTTACCAACAAGATTCCAATGGTTGAAAACTATAGTAATTTATTTTATTCATTTATTTGCCACTGCTTTAAATTTTTAAAGGTTAAGGAGGTAATGTACAACTGACATAAAGTTTAGGAAGTCCTGTGTATTTTAGCCTATTAAAAAATATTTTTATGTTTAGTTTCCGATGCGCTTATTAGGGAAAACGTGATTTTTGGACATTACTGATGCTGTTCTGGATAAGAAGGCATTTCTTAATCAACGTAAGAATAAAAAAAACAATTTAGATATATACATTTACTACGACTTAAGTTTACACGATAAGCCTTTATCAGCGTTTTAAATTGAATTTGAACCAGCTCTGCATGATCCATATGTTGGAGAAGTTCATCAACATCAATGCATGTCAAAATTAACCAAAGTGGGCCACGTCAAGTACTTCTAAATTTCTTTATATATAAGGTTTACAGATGTCTATGAATATAAAATATAGATGTTGAGGTTCTTACTTTATGGTGCATGATTTTCATTTTTTATTTTTATCTTTTGAAAAAACTGAACTGTGTTTGATGCAGTGAAAGCTCTAAAAACAATATCATCAAAGATAGAAAACTTGAATTGGGATGTGAGCCCACGTTCTTGTGTCGATGATGGCTTCAAAAATGAGATCATTAGTGGAATGAATAGCATCGTAAGGAATGTAACATGCGATTGCAGCTTCTCAAATGGAAAAGTTTGTCATGTTACAAATATGTAAGTGCATTTGTGTACATGGTTACAATGTAACCCTTTCAGTTTGGGTACAAATCAAGCTCGAATCTAAATTAAGCTGTGTTTAATGAGTTCCAAATAATGTTGAAAAGTTTTCTTTCTTACTTTTTGTTCCTTTCTTTATTTAAAACTAGTTGATTTGATTTTGAGATACATTTCTATATGATATTTAGAATAAGTTAGGTCTGGCTCTGCATTGTAATAAAATTAATATTCAAATGCATATTGGTGCTATTTGTTTTTCTGCCAACATATTGGTGCTAATTATAAGATAACTTATTTTATTTTAGCTCTATGTAAATAGTTTTAGTGACGTGTTTTTCATTTTATGACAGCGATATGACGGGATTTAATCTATCTGGAGTTTTACCAAGTGAATTTGGATTCCTTAGCCATTTGCAAGTATTGTAAGTAATGAAATTTTTTAGTTAAATTATTGGTTTATAGCAGCTTAGATTTATATATATGTATATGCTTAGTTAAAATGTGGGAATTTGGGATCTGAAATGCAACTTTTATATGTGGCATAGTGATTTGTCTCACAACTATCTAAACGGATCAATCCCAAGGAGCTTTGCTAGACCCCCTCTTGTTGCATTATAAGTGATCATAACGCTGTGAATGATTGTATGTATATATATGTGTGTGTATTTTCATATATGTTATGCATGCATGCATTTATACAAGCTCGGATTATTTGACCATATGCATTATCCATCTCTTAAACACATGTCTTAGACACCTTCCGGATAACGCAATCAGTGGTCCGATTCCAGACGAAATTGGTGAAATTACAACTTTAGAAGATTTGTAAGTATAAATCATTACACTTTGAGTTTTTTAAAACTTATTGTTGCATTTGGAAATAATTTTATGGTTTTGCTACTTTCTGCAGAAGCTTGAATGATAATCTAATGGAAGGGACTCTTCCTTCTAGTCTCGGAAAATTGACCCAATTACGCATGCTGTAAGAATATTATTTCAAGTGCAAATAATTTTCTTTTATCTTATTAGTTGCATTGTGACTACCACATTAGTCTTGTTATAGATAATTTTTTATATTGCTTTTAGATGTGTTATCTGTTTCTAAGGATTTGGAACTCGTAGGGATCTTACTGGAAATAACTTCTTGGGGGCCATACCCGAAAGTTTTGGTAATCTGACAAAACTGGAATATATGTGAGTGGCATAATATGATTTAATCATTTCATTATATTTTATTTTTGATGTTGTGTTGATCTCTTTTAAATTCTAAAATTTCTCTCTTAACACTTTTGTAGCTCTTTAGATGGCACCAACATATCAGGAAAATTACCCAATTTTATTGGGAACTGGACCCAACTCCAAGTAATGTGAGTCTAATACACTCTCTATCATAATGCTTTTCCTTTTAAATAAGATGCTCCTTTATGAACTTAATGTATCGAAGTTAATAAGCTTAATGAAGTTCAGTGCTTTTATTTTCATTTACTCCTGTATTTTATTATATTGTCATATTAGTTTGTTTGAAATTGTTGAAAACGAAGAAAGAAAACAAGGGAGAATTATTATACGGCTCCAATAAAAGAATGTAATCACTAAAAATTCAAACAACAACAACAATCAAGCAATATGTAGTGATAAGATTTAGTGGAAAAATGACCATAGGTTTATGTTGATCACTTGTCATTGGGATTTATTAGTAATTATATATTTTTTTTGGGACCCCAAATAACTCTCCAAAAAAAAAAATATTTGGGCAGGTATTTGGAGGGAACGTCTATGGAAGGCCCCATTCCTATAACCATATCTCACTTAACATATTTGTCTAGTATGTGAGTGCTTGGTCTTTTATAATTCATCCGCACACTGTGTTGATGGTTACGCAATTTAATTTCAACAGAAGAATATTTTCCTATTATTGATACTGTTTGTATTTAATTTTAATTCAGGATGATAAACTGATTTGCATGGACAATGATAATGGGATTTCCTAATGATAATGGGATTTCCTAATTTGGAGAATTTGACGTCCTTGCGATACCTGTAAGTTGAGAATTTAATAGTGACGTGAAAATTGTTATCGAAAATGAGCTATATATTCTCAATGAATTTCATACCTTTTTTTTTCCTCTCAGGGTGTTGAGAAATTGCTCCATCCATGATTCCATTCCAAATTATATTGGTAAAATGCAAAACTTAAATAAAGTGTAAGTTGCTTCATCGTCATACTATGAATCCAAAATCCTCTAAATAATAATCCCAATTTAATGTTTAATTGACAACCTAATTCCTAATTTAGAGCTACTTACTTTTATTATGGACTATTTATTACTAGCAACATTATTTTTCAGTTATTTTTATGAAGCAATATTTGTGTCCCCGTGTATTAATTGCAGAGATTTGAGCTTCAACAAGTTGACCGGTAAAATCCCAAACAGTATAAGTAGCTTGACCTACCTAGATCTCATGTAAGGGAGCATTCTACACACAGATAACTTGATTTTTTTTTTGGGAACTTAGTTACTCTTTTTTAATGATCTTCATTAATTATATGTATGCAGGATTCTAACTGAAAATTCTCTGATCGGAAAAATTCCTGATTGGATATTTCAACAGCAAAACAATGGTGTTTCTTTGTTAGTAAATTATTTTTTATTTTAATTTTATTTGTCATTACTACATCTAGTTCAATGCCATTACTGTTTGAAATTAATTACCGTGAATCTTATTGACAAAAACATCTTTAGCCTTTAAATCTCTAATCATTTTAATTAATCCCCTTTGCATAATGTCATTTTGATTTGAGCTTTGACATATGAAAAATTTGGGAGAATTGTTATTAAATCTCAAGGAAGGAATATAAGTCCCAATAGCAATAAAACAGCATGCAATGATAACAAGAAGAAGAGCCGCCCAACCAACTCATCTAAACTTTATCTAATACTCTTCCAGTCTTTAATATAAAACCTATTTAACTAATTTGATTATATTAAAGAAGTTAGGTAAGTTAGTTAATTATAAGAAACATGACATGTTTTTTCTAAAATACTATAATCATCTTCCTTAATATCCTCTCTCCCTCTTCCACTTGATCATAGTTGAGGGAATATCCATATGGGTAATTTATAAAAAACTGATAAATATAAGAAATATGTCTTATATTTAGGATCAAAATCAACTCAATAATTATGTCATATATTAAGAACCGGAGGAGTATATATATATATATATATAACAGGAATGAAACTTACATGTGTAATTTCACACTACTTCTATTGCAGTGATTTATCTTACAACAATTTTTCAGAAACTTCTGCGACTACTTGTCAGTATGGAAAAATGTGAACTCCTCTCCTCGAACTCCAAACTACTTTTTTCTTGTTCTTTAAGACATTATGCAACAACTGTAAAGCTTTTTTTCTTTTTTGGTTATACAGAAACTTGGTTTCAAGTCTATCATCTTCAGCAAACGCCTCGTAAGATTATACTTATGGCTTTTGTTTCACTCATTCTAAATGCTTTTGATTCATGCTTTGAAATTTTTATTCATCTTACAGGCGTACTTGCCTAAAAAGGGGCCTTCCTTGTGGGGAAAAACCCAAGTGTGAGTGTCTTCTTGCTTATTTCAAACTTTAACATAACATTGTCTTTTTTTAGTTGTATTTTATTTTCCCATCACAAACCTTTTCAAGAGTTTTAACTAAGTAATGTAGACTTTAGTGAACGTAACAATAAAATGACTATCAATATCATATGACAATATATATATATATATATATAGAGGGAGAGATCATGATCTTATGAATTTGATCATTTGGATTCTCTTATAGAGGTGATTTTTGATGAGGTTGTCCCTATATGCAGATCATTCATTGTTCATAAACTGTGGAGGACCAGAGACTGAATATGAGGGGAATAAATATGAAGGAGACAACAATCCTAATGGTGCCTCATACTTTTTTGCTAGTGAAGATAAATGGGCTTATAGTAGCACAGGAGTAGAAACTTACGAATATTCTAATAGTAATTACATAATAACAAAAGTATCTTCCCTTGATATTTGTTGGTCCTGACTTCTACCAAACAGCTCGCGTTTCCCCTGTGTCTCTCAAGTACTATGGCCTTTGTATGATTAATGGAAATTACAACGTCAAACTATATTTTGCTGAGATTATGTATTCTTATGACCAAAATTTCCATCACACTGGAAGGCGCATATTTGATGTTTCAATCCAAGTGAGTCTCACTATGTTGAATTTAAATTTTTTACAGTGATCAGAGAATTCCATGAATAGTGAGAAAATAATACTCTCCACCCATGAAGCGTATAGTTGAAGAGAAATAAATATTGTGAGATGTGTCGCTATCAAGTGAACTCACCACTATGTTCATGTATCTCTTTGATGGGTGGCTAAATGGCCAATTATAAATGAGAAATACTTACATACTCTTAGAAGGCCATGTCATAAGTACTCTCTCCAATGAAAATGTTCCAAGTGTATCCCACAAATTTCTCTTGATTAGTTTTCTCCCTTCATAACCCATTATGATAGAAATTTGTGGGATCCATAAGAAAAGGACACCTGGAGCATTTTCATGGGATAGAGAATGGATGACGTGACACTCCAGGAGTATGTAAGAATTTCTCATTATAAAGACAAGGACTATTACTATATATAATGATTTAACATGCTTTCAACTGTTTTCGCTATGTACGTTAACAATTCTCTAAAGTGTGAAACTTTTGTATGGATATCCTAACAGGGTAGGAACTATTTACATGATTTCAATATTATGAGGGAAGCTGGTGGCGTTGGTAAGGGCATTGTCAAGGACTTTAATGTTGATGTTAATAATAACACCTTGGAGATTCATTTGTACTGGGCTGGAAAAGGAACTACCACTATTCCTACTTATGGTGTATATGGACCTCTTATATCTGCTATTTCGATCACCCCAAGTAAGTAAAATCTCATATTTATTGGTTTACACTCTTTCTAGCTTAAGCTAAGAGATGACAATTTTGACTTTGATAGGAATCGTAACTATTACTACTTTTTTGTCATGTAGATTTCAAAATTCCTCGAATTTCTGGTGGAACCATTGCCGGAATTGTGGGTTGGATCATGCGTGTGTCCTCATCATACTAATAATATATTCATCCTTCAAAAAATGGGCTTACTAGCTGACAGAGATTCAAAAGACAAACGTAAGATCAAAATAAAAAATAATAAAGTTGGTATATCTAATGATAATTTGGTACAATACAGTGAAAAAAAGATTTTCCATATGCCTGAATTCTATCATACAAGTCAAATGGACAAATAATGATTTTTGCATATACGTAATTATTTTCAAGTTTCTTGTAATTTCAATCTATTTTACTTTGTATTTATATAACCTTATTTTTAATGCAGAACTTTTAGATCTAAAAACAGGTTATTTCTCTTTGAAACAAATCAAAGGTGCCACTAATAACTTTGCCCCAGAAAATAAGATTGGTGAAGGAGGTTTTGGACCGGTGTACAAGGTAATTTTTACTATATCCATTTATCTTTAACCAATGTTACATAATTGAATACACTTATAAAGAGATTATGTCTTTAGACATAATGATTTTGCTTAAGAAAAAGTATGAAAATTCAGACTAAGGGGTAAACTAAATTGCAGGGTACATTATCAAATGGCGTTGTCATAGCTGTGAAACAGCTTTCCTCTAAATCAAAGCAAGGGAATCGTGAAGTGAATGTTAATGAAATTGGAATGATTTCTGCTTTGCAACACCAAAACCTCGCAAAGCTTTATGGATGTTGTGTTGAAGGAATCATTGTTGCTGATATATGAGTACATGGAGAACAATAGTCTTGCTAGTGCTCTTTTTGGTAAGAACTTGAATTCTTCACAATATAAAAATTACCATATGTAGTATTATATACAAGGAAAAGATAAAATTGACTGAGCATAAATGAATAAAATGTTTTTATATACATTCTCTTATTGTGTGTGTTATAGTATTACATCACTATGACAGAAAATGTAAAATCGTGTTCATATTATTTGCCAACAACTTTAATTATATCTTTATTTTTTAAAAGACAAAATTTAGATGTTGTATTTTAGGCTTTTTAAATTTAACACATATTTACTAATTCGAAACACCAACAAATATCTAATTAATTTTTATTGAATGACTTGATAGTAATATGTTGTTAATTAAGATACCATTGATATTAATGTTAGGTGGCCAGGGACCAAAAGATACACTTGGACTGGCCCAAGAATGAAGATATGTGTAGAATAGCAAGAGGATTGGCTTATCTTCATGAGGAATCAAGGTTGAAATGTGCTAGGGATTATTAAGGCAACAAATGTCTACTTGATAAAGATTTGAATGCCAAGATCTCAGATTTTGGATTAGCCAAGCTTAATGAAGATGAGAATATTCATATAAGCACAAAGAATAGCAGGAACAATGTCAGTATATATTCTACTACATCTTTTTCACTGGATCAATATAATTTTCATATTTGGTTAGTAATAATGTCAATAGGTTTTTTTTTCTTGGACTATCCTTGCACATTCTCCATTTGTGACTTGATTATTAACATTATATTTTTCTCATTAGTGGTTATATGGCTCCTGAATATGTAATGCGAGGATACTGACTGATTAAAGCCGATGTTTATAGTTTTGGAGTTGTTGCCTTAGAATAGTTAGTGGGAAAAAGCAACACAAGTTAGGCTAAGAGAAACTTTGTTTACCTTCTTGACTGGGTTAGTTATTCTACTCACACTTGGCATTGGTGATGTTCAATATTCTTCATAAGTTATGGTTTAATGAGTTTTAACCAACAACTGTATACTTTCATGCAATTGAAGGCTTATGTTCTTCTTAAGAGCAAGGAAACCTTCTGAGCTTAGTGGATGCAAGTCTTGGTTCAAGCTACTCCTCACAGGAAGTCATGAGAATGCTGGAGCTAGCACTCCTATGTACTAACCCATCTCCATCAACTCTGAGGCCATCCATGTCCTCTGTTGTTTTCATGCTTGAAGGAAAGTTGCCAATCCAAGCCCTAA